CTCTCTCTCTCTCTCTCTCTCTCTCTCTCTCTCTCTCTCTCTTCCTGAGGAAATCCATACACCTTACATTTGTCTTAATGAATTCTGCAAGCTCGCTGTCTGCTCTGTTCCGGTGAGTCATGCTGCTCTCAGGACCAAGTCTGCGCGCACTTCTGCTCAGACCTGGAACACTATGTTCACCCAGCTTTTATTAGAATCCTCCTCTGCCACACTCAGTAGCTGTAGGTGACACGTTTCATACGAGCTGGTCTCAAGTAGATCCTCACAGGATGCACAGCTGCAGCTACAGAGGTACGCTCCTGGGAGTGACGAGGATTTACATGTGACGATAAGAACGCCATCATCAGGTAAACGGCAAGAAGTGTAAAATACTGAGTTAGTGTGTTTTATTTTCGAAGTATACAAGCTCGTTCATGGGATTCGATTTTTACCTTTTAACACTTCTAAAGCATGGAATCAGGATTCAATAGAGGTGTTGCGTTCATGGAAATTTATGAATAAAAGACCTAGCACCCCCTGAAGGAATGCATATCGCCCTCTGCTGATGTTGYCTCAGAAGATGTGAATGACTCTCAGCTACTACCATTTCAAATTTTAGCACAATATCTGTAAAACTACCATCTTTGGGTTACTTAGCGTTTAGCTGTAGCAGCCATCCTGAATCACTGACTCCAAAAGTTAATCAGTTTTAGATGTACATACAGTTTCTTAAAGTTTTATTAAAAATTCTATCACAGATGTCAAATGCAAGGCCCGCGGGCCAAATGTGGCCTGCCACAGCATTTTTTGTRGCCCGCCAGAACGTCAAAGCTCACATCTACAGGAGAATGGAAAAATCATAATTTCAAACCTGCTTTTGTTCTTAGGTTGTGTTTAACTCTGCTTTCCTTTAAATGTTAACATGTTTATGATCTTTGTATAACTGATGTTGTTTGTGTGTCACAGGCCTCTCTTGTAAAGGAGACATGTCTCAAAGAGATTACCTGCCTACATAAAAGTAAATAAAAAAACAATAAGAAGAAGCTGCTATAAAACCAGCAATGACCATAAACTACATCTCCCATAATGCATGCTGATTATTTTACCCGCAAAATGGCATCTCACAACTAGGTGGAGTTGCACAGGGTTCAAAAATAAAATCTCAATTTAACTGCACTTTTTTCCTGCAATTTTTGCTGCAGACAGTTGTACTGGGAAATGAGAATTTCCAACTTACAAGTTGTAATTTTAAACTGGAACGCCTCTCCAGTTCAAACTCCCTGTGGGAAAGTGGGAGAGTTCAGAATTCAAAATGGCAGCTAATCACCACAACTCAACAGTGAGTAAAACGCTCTAACTTTTTTACTTTAAATAGTATTTCTGTATTATTCATTTTACATTTAGTTGTTCGTAAACGTAGTACTTTTCAGTGTTTATAAGAGGATGCGTTAAAAAGCTGTTTCTATGCAGGAAATACCATGTAGAGCTCAGTTATTTGTTAGCAGTGCTCATCTGTAGCAATGAGACGAGGAATGTGGTGTTTTGTGTTTAGTCAAAGTTAAACGTGAAACATTAAAGTTATTTACAACTGGCCTTTTGAGGGCCACCATAAAGCTCATGGGGCCCTCAGTGAAAATGAGTTTGACACTTCCATCAATCCAGTTTTGCTCAATGAGTTGCACTTGTTGTGCAAGATCACTCATCATGTGTTRTGACTGACTCTCAGCTACTACCACACCCAGTTTTAGCAAAAATATCTGTAAGATGGACTGAACTGTAGCCAATTGTTGTGTTTTCTAAAGTCAGTTACTTGTGGCAGCATTCTTGAATTGTGTTAGCTCCCAAATGTAATCAGTTTTACAGTGAACGTTGCCAAAGATTTTGTGCAGTCGCTTCAGTAAATGTCAGGGATCAGTCTCAGCTTCTACCACACCCAATTTTAAAGCAATATCTGTAAAACTGACAGAGTTCTATTGCCATTTTTGTGTTTTTTTTCGAAAGGTTCCAGTATTGGTATCATTAATGAAACTGTCAGAGGTGAAGACTGCTGCTATCTCAGTTCAGGATTTGTGGTTTCTGATGTCACAGAATGCATTGTCTGAATGAAAACAGGAGAGAGGTGCAGGGTCATGTCATCATCGTGGCTCGACACGTGCAATGAAAAGGATAAACACAACGCTCCGTCGCTGAAAGAACAAAAGGTCAAACAGTCATTTCAGAAACATGTCGTTTTAATTTACTTTCAGCGCGACGTTAGTTGACTTTTGCACGGCCCCAGGACATTTCCTGTCAGTCAGATGTCGGCTTACAAACGAAGGTTTTCATTGTTGTCAGGCAAAACCCACCTGCAGGGCCAGAAACAAATGCAGTTCCCACGGATTTATCATCAGGTTCTCAGTAACAAAGGTAMGAGTGAGAGCCTTGCAAAGGAATCAGCAAAGCAAACAAGTCCGGGTCGTGTTTTCTCCTCCACACAACTGAAAACATCCTCATTCCACATTTTACTCAACCAGCAGCACATGTGCTCTCTGTTAGAGAGAAAGGAAACCTAAAGGCCACGGATTATTTGATTTAAAACTCAACAGTTTGACGGTAATGGTTGTGTCTGGGTTCAGTTTGTGTCGTTTGGATGCACGGAGGTCAAGCCGAGCCAGTCRGTTGTCCTTGCAGGACCTCTCCACGGCTCCTGACTCACAATCGCCGCAGATGAGCTCAACCAGCGATGGCAAGCACCAGAATATTACATGAACGTTTGGACAGCGGCGGGTCCAAGAACAACCACAGCATTTTTCTTCTTCTTTTTTTTTTCTCTTTCTCTCTCGGCTAGCCCCTGAATTCACCACGCAGCGGATGCCAGACCACCACACACCAGTCCAACTCAGCACTCTGTGGTGTCTCTACCTTCACTCAGAGGAACCCTGTCAACCCAAAACATATTAAACACATTAGGGTTCATCAAACATGAATGTGTTTTCTGTTTTTTTTTTCCTTTTTTTTTCATCAACGCTATGCTCCAACTTTGAGTTGAGCTTTATTGATTTTACTCCAAACTGGAGAGTGGTTTTAATTGTTTTAGAAAACAGACATGCTTTTATAGGAGTCAAATATTGTGCGTGTTTGTGCAGTCCCCGTCAAGGCCAAGCATGCTGAGCCAGAGTTCACACAACATATTGAGCCTGTTTATGGCAAACTAATGCTCCAAACTTCACCTTCTGTTTTTAGTTGTTTCACACTGGCCGGGCGCCCCACCGCATCGAGCCGCTCCAGGGTCTTGCATGAAGCCGTGAAACCTCACTGTAACATAAGAAAAGCAGGCGATTCACAAAAACGGCCGAGCGGCTGCAGCACCGTGACTCGAAGACCCGGTGAGTGATTAAATCTTAGCCTTATTGGAGGAGGAGAAGAAACAATCCACTGCTCTGCGTTCAGTTTGAATTGCATGCAGTGGTTTCATTTTGAAACACACCCAAGCAGGAAAAAAAATCAATAAAAAGAACTTTACAGCAGAAGACTTGCATCAACAAATATCCCAGTTTTGTGCAGTGGATTGTGTTTGGATGGACACATCGCTGGTTTGGAGCCGTTTTGMAGTGTTGATCTAGACTATTTAATGGATCCAGTGTGTTCCTGATTGTCCATCATGTTAAATGTCTGCTCTGCTTTGCCTCTGCTTGGATGAATAGGCAGATCTATACATAATAGCCTTAAAATTACAGTTCTGGGAAAAAACGGTTAGAGGCAAAATGATTTTTAACCAATTACTCTGCCGATATAAAGACATCAATGAACTCTCTATACAAGAGTAGACCATGTATTTTCATGACCTTTTGTTTCCATTTGACAGCCTTTCCGATGTAAAACCAAACTTGATGCATTCATCTTTACTAACTCCAACCAGCAGTCTGTATTGACGAAAACATAAATTTTCCTTTAATGAACTCCGACGTTGCCATTGCTGCTTTGATCGATTAGTTCATTTGTTTTATTGTGGGGACTTTTTTTTTTCTCTCAGTGTCATAATGAGTCTTTAAAACACTGAAGTGAAGGCAGAACATCAGCAAGTCATGTTCTGAGAAATGATGCATCATGCTATTTGACTTAAATTACTTTTACAAGACAAATATAGAGAAYAGATCCAGCAGCAGACTGTGAACCCGCAATTTAGTGCAGATTTTGCGAACTGTGGTTCAATAGGAAAGGGTATGAATAGTTRATATCTCACCTGATGTAGACAGCTCTGTGATCAAACTTAGCTTAGAGATAAAATGTTTAATTWTGACCAGACTTATGAGCTAAGTGCTAGTCACAGCAGAGCCAGAGACAGACTCCGGGGCCTAAAATTCACTGCAGGATTTGCAGTTATTGCACACTTTTTTTGCTTCGATCGATCCCCGTAAATCTAGTTTTTAGAATGCGGGAATTTCCTACGTACAATAAATTACAGCCACGTGTAATAATGTGGACGTTTGCATYGGACCATTCTGGCTCTTTCAGGAGACACCCTGCATCGTTACTGACCAGTGTTCTGACCAAAGATGAACTTGGCTGTATTTTGATCTCTGCAACATATTAAGAGGCAAGATTCCTTCAGCAACTCCTGCTACAGACATCAGCAACTTAATTCAGAGCAGCTGAGTATTAAAGATTCTTCACAGATTTAAGTGTGCACTAYTTTATTAACTTTTATATGTGAGAATTTTGTTTGTTTGTCTTGTTAAACTTCAAGTAGAGCCTGAAAAGTAACTTTTCCCTCAGTCTGCCTTCACATTCCCATGAGGGCGTCATCCTGCTGGTTTTCTAGTTCTGTTCCTCGATGTCATCTCTGTTTCGCCACTAACTTGTGTGACCGTGCCTACATTTYTGAGATTTCCTGCATTTCAGATCCACCTGCCTGACCTCTCTCCACACTTACCTGTCCTGGACAAATCGTGTCCCCACTGGCTCCTCCGTCCCCTTTGAAAACCTCCACCTTCTCTTCAGCACCTGTTAAACAAACAACCACAAGAACAATTACTGATTACTGTCTGAAAGATTATCTCTCCTCTGTAACTCTGCTATTCCCTATTCACAGTTTACCCCAGCTGCTGTTTCCTGTCTCTGTTGCAATAAAACCATTTTTACAACTTTACCTGTATTCTGGTGAGATTTTCTTCAAGTATTTATAGACCCTGTGAAGCCACATAGCCTCTAATGTGACATTTTATTTCCATCAAATTTGCTAACTATTYTTGCAGAAATATCACAAAATGCCAGCCTACTCCAGYACTCCAGCTAATTGCTATGGCTATYATGTATAGTGTAAAATATACAAAAATATAAATAAAATAAATTAAACATGCAATAAAAAGGAAAAAATACATAAATAAAACTCACTAACACATCATTTAGTTCACTTTCTCAGTGTGAAATTCTAGCAGTCTACTCTAAAAGGCAAACCTTAAATCTTGGGATTAAAAGCAGTAGCGGATCTAGGATTTTTCAGTGTAAGGGCCATCAAGGGACCACAATATTCATAGAGGGGCCAAGTATTTGTTCAACGTACTTGCACACAAATCCCCAGTTTTTGTAAGATTTATACATTTAATCAGTCACACGTGTTCAAACACTAAAGCTTGCACAGTAAATTCTCCTTATCAGTTTTACTTGATTTTTTTATGGTACATAAAATACTCTCAAACACACATGTGATAAAATCCAGTCATTGTTGTCAGCAAAAACTTTTTTTCAGCAGGATTGTTCAAATTGAAAATGACTTCTGTAAGCTTGCTTCATGTTGGACTTTCCTATTTCACTCACTGGCGCCAGTAGTGGTTGGAAGTGGAACTGCAGCCACCATCATTGTTCTTGGGCAAGGACAGATGAGTGAAAGGACAGGGGCACTTCAGGGGGCCAATCAGATTTCAGATGGGGCTAGTGCTCCTGTGGCCCCGCCCCTAGAACCGCTCCTGATTAAAAGTATTTCAGAGTGGAAAACAACCTTTGAAATTGGTGCTCGGCTTTTGTTGCGATGAGATACTGAGACAAATTCAAACACTAACGCTGCTACAGCTGCTAACACTGCTAATGCTGCTAACGCCGCTGACGCATTTGCGGTTGTGGCCAGTGTCCGAGCTGCACATCAAACTTCCAGACCATAGGTACCATATTGTTTTCAGTTAACACATTGAATATAGATTTTAAATGCCATCTTCAGCGTTAGCAGTGGTTAGTAGCAGTTAGCGTTGGCTAACCAGAATGATGTCATCATCCTGCTACAAACATGCAGTTGCATTGTTAGTGGTTACCATTGTCTCAGGATGATGATGTCAAAASAAAAGCTGAGTGCCAATGGCTGTGATCTATTCTGAGATATTAACTTCAACTTTTAACCACAACATTTAAGATTTAACTTTTACATTTAGATTTAMACATTTAGATTTAGAATTTAACATKTAGACACARCATTTAACATCTAGTAAAAATTAGTAAATGTAGGAACAGAAAGTGAGATAATTAATGAAAAARTGTTAGTGACTTATTTTTACTACACTTCATTTTACATTTGATGCCCATTCATGTGTGCTCAGAGATAATCAGATAATTTTAACATGACAGAGGTCTGTAACGTGCAATGCAATATTCACAACACAAAATAGTGTTTGGTAGAACCTGCTATGAATTTTTTTGAAAGTAAAAACCTGTTCAAGACAATTACAATCTACTCTGGTCTTGGTAAGATTAGCTCATCTGTGCAGTCAGAATTACTTCTCTCCAAACTCATGTTGTTCAAAGCGCTATCTACAACAGGTGAGATATTAATTGTTCATTTTCAAAGGATCTGAACTAAGGTCATTCTGTGTATTTGCCACTTTAAAGACCTCCTTTTTGAATCTTTGGGTAATGGTGATAAGACTAAACTTTATCTTTACCACAAGGTGAATATTCACAGGTGATTGTAAGCATTGAGCCACCAGTGGTGGGTGCAGAGGGGGGSTGGCCGTATGCATTAAATTATTTATGATGATAATCAGGAAAAGAGAGAATAAGCTCAGTGTCAACTGCAAAACAGGAAAACAAAGCAGAGCTATCTCAGAAGGTGACTCCCCGACTTTCCTGCCTGAGGAAAACYCGTAGAATTCTGTTTTGGCTTCTGGTTTTAATGCACCTTCCCAAAAATATCAACAGACTTTCATCTGGTCACCTCTTTGAAACGTGTCTCAAAGTACGGCTGTGCGCTTTAAAAAAAACATCTTCATTACAACCTATTGCTTCATATTAAATAGCATGAATGGTACCTGTCCTGCACCCCTTGAATAGGCTTGATTTGACCAAACAGAAATGTTTCTTTTTTCTTTTTCTTTTTTGTATTTGTGTGCCTGCTCAGCTTGGAAAATACTTTCCTTTCATTGATGAAAAGATATCCAGCATTTAGAGATGAAATTACTTTCCAAGTGGCCTCTGACTCACCATCTCTATCCACGGTGTCCTCTCTCGCTCTCAGTCTCCCCCCTCCTCCCTCCTTCATCCCTCTCTCCACCTTCACTTGTCCTTGAGAATGTTCTTTCTATTGTAACTGTATACAGCACTTAGCACTTCAGACGGCAGAAAAGAACCAAGCTCAAGGACTGCTGCCCACCCTCGCCGTGCTCATAAATAGACTGTTTGTCCACGGCTTACCAAGCACCTCATACCCACTGCGCCTGTGTGGGTGCTTGTGGACAATGTGTAGCTCGAACCAAAATAGAACTTCACTGCTGCACAGTGTGCGGGTGGATTCACAGATRCCAGTTTGGGCACGGAGGTGGTGGCTGTGGTGGAGAGGCAGGGAGAATCATTGTTGTGTCGATGAAAATTAGCTGCAGTGACTCACAAAGTCTATCCCTTCCTCTACGATGTGCGATCCCATTCATCTGTTCGCTCCCCCCCCCTAAAAACAGGTGCCGCCTCTGCAGAGTTCCTCAGACTGCAACGCCAACTGTCTGGGACCGGACCGTCAGCACATTCCTGGAGAGCTGGATCCCCAGAAGCAACAATTCCTCCCTCCTCTCYTCCCTCCCTCCCTTCCTTCCTTCCTGCCGCCCTCGTGTCCTCTCCCTTCGCTTCCGTAGGATTGCATCACTCGTCTGCCTCTTGGCCTCCTCTGCTCGGACCCTCTAATCAAATCTGGCGCACACATATAAGCAAGTCAAAAAAGTCAAGCACACRCACGCACGCRCRCACRCACRCACRCACRCACRCACRCACACACACACACACACACACACACACACTGTGGGCAGGAGGCACCCTCATCAGTCCTCACCCTGGTTTTGTAGCCTCAGTTGGAATTTTATGGTCGGTTTGAGTGCAGGATTCTGGAGTTGCCCTTGCTCTTTTTTCCTTCTCTCTCCCTCCCTTCTCTTCTCTCATTTTCTTTCTSCTACCCCCTCTTTTTTTTCCTTCTTTGTTTGTTTTCACCCCATTCKCCCTCAAGGTCAGAAATATCCTGCGGTTTAGGTTTGATCCCCTCGGATATGCCTTCCCTCACTCCTACTCTCTGCCTCTCCCTTCCTTTTTTTTATTTGCTTTTCTTGTGCTCGCTCACACGCACGCACAGAGACACACTTACTGTAAGTGAATTATGCTGCTCCCCGCTTTTTTTTTTTTTATTCAAACAGGAAACACATGCTGGGATCAGCATAGGTGGGTCTGGATCCATACAGGGGTATCCAGAAGAAAATTCACGAGTGGAGAAAGAAAACAAGTTGTAGTTTTCAGGACTAAAAGCTGTCACTGCTGAACACAGTATTAAGTGGAGTTACAGTCGGTGGACTGTCCTGACCCCAGACAGGTTAACAAAGTTCCTGTGGGTTCACCGTCTGCCCRATGTTGTGCAACATGGCAGAGGCCCAGCACTTGTGTAACACCAGGGGGGCCCTGCCTGGCTAAAAGAACACCATTTCAATAGTCATTTCATTCATAAAATAAGGTGAAAAACAAATTTTTTCCCAGTAAAGTCTGAACATTAAACTGTTCATACTGTCACTTAAAAAAAGTTCTAGGAAAAACTGTTTTACTGCACCTACCAAAAGGCAAAAAGCAGGCGATATTTGCTTTGYTCATTTGATTGTACCATTATTTAAATATCTCACAAACAGCTGAACAGATTTTAACAAAACTTTTAAAAAGTTATAACTAAACACACATCTCTAACTGTAACTCAGTTAGTTTTACAGACAATGAGATCAAATTTGAATTGATAACTAACAGTGAGTTCTCTGTATTATTTTCAAGGTTTGACCAAAGTGGTCAAACTCTATTTATCACAGTCAAGAAATGCTGAAAGCGATTTAAACATTTCTTTCCTGATGGAAACTGACAAAAATATACTTAACACAGAAAGT